TCCCTAACGTGGCACACTTCAATATTTACCCCGACTTTCTACATCAGTGTTGCCAAAATTCTTTGTTGACAAACTTCAAATTCATTCAGTGAAATACTGGTACTTTTACCTTATTAAAGCTTGCTATTTAACCTCTGTGAACAATTTCGTTTCATGAAATTTAATCCGAAATTCAACAACGGTGGCGTCCGGAAATTGGGCACAAATTGGCTGAGTGTTCCCCAACGTGGCGCACTTGAATAAATCTCGGAAAATTCCAAATTAACATTTAAGAATTTCTGTAAAGTTAATAAGTTCTGATAAACAATTATTATCTCTACTTACATACCCAACTAGAAGTTTGTCAGAAAATTATTTTCAATTTTTTCGGGACATTTTTAAAGGGTTCAGTGTCATGACTGTGCACTTCGAAAAAAAATCGGAAAATCACACCGAAATAACATTTTCTTTTAACTTTGTAAAGGGTGGATAAACTCGCGCTTTATGAACGGGAGTGTTTAGAACTTGCTTTAGCTAGGCACTACAGGCGATAAATCAAAGTGCGCCACGTTAGGGGCCGCGCCACGTTAGGGTACATCAACAATACTAGCACAAGTAGTATGCTATATTTGGAATTTTGGAAAGCATTCATTCAAATTCTGGCACTTTTGTATCTCTAATAGGGTTTGCTATGCGGAGAATGAGAAACTAAACGGTCGGTAAATCAATGTTCGACAAGGTTTTACAGGATTTTAAATGCGGTAAACGTACCGTAGGGTTCAACCAAGAGTTAGGCCATGTAAAAATATAAACCAGTTTATCGTCTCCGCCTGCTTCCTTAGTAAGTATTTGCTGCCCTCTGTTGATATGCATATGAAAATGGCTAAAATAAGTAGTTTGCTGCCCTCTGTTGATAGGCATATGAAAATGGCTAAAATAAGTAGTTTGCTGCCCTCTGTTGATAGGCATATGAAAATGGCTAAAATGCTGCCTCTTTTTTTCATTCATACATTTGCAATATATTTTTCACATTGTCAATGTATTGTCTTTTTATTTGTTTCCAACAAAAGCTATGTAGAAAGGGTAATGGCTTTTTTTTTGGACACAATATTGGCCAAGTTCGCGCAAGGACTATAGTTGACCAATGGTTAACTAACGTTTGCCCGAACTCTGTCTAGTCGACGATGGTTGACTACGCTAGTCGACTATTTGGAACCAACCTACTGGGGTTGGTTGCTTCGCTGGTAACCAATAACCGCACGCATTCATAACGCTAGCAGAGAGCCAGGATCCAGAAGTTTTGCGATGACATTTTGACCAGCGTTTGACTAGAGACGTTCGCACGTTGCTATTAGTGCGCAGGCGTAAGGTACGTCACAAATCAACCACTAGTCGACTAATGGTCCTTGCCCGAACTTGGCCATTGTATCAGTAAAATAGTCAAGAAATTTGAAAAATCCATCCACCATCTTGGAAAATCTGCCATCTTGGAAAAACAAAACCACTCTTTCATTTTTCAAAAAAGGCCAGACAAGAACTACATTTTTTTTTTAATCAGACTTACTGCTTGCTGAATGTTGCATTCTTCCCTGACTGGGGTCAAATGTATTTCAAGGCAGAAATATAATTATTCCTGAACCCTTATCTTCTTTTTCCATGTTGCTGATATGGAAAAACCATGCATCAAATACATGTACTTATTTTTTAGCCATTTTCATATGCCTATCAACAGAGGGCAGCAAATACTAATTTTAGCCATTTTCATGTCTATCAAAAGAGGGCAGCAAATACATCAGCCCTGTACATGTGCATGTCGGTGCTGAATTGTACATTTTTACCAAATGAGTGTTTCGTTATTTCTGGAATAAAATAAACTTTACAGAGGACATGTATGGTTGAATAAAGAAATTCTGTGAAACATGACGTAGCCTGCAATGAAATTAATTAATTGCAAATAGAATTCTTTACCAAACGCGTTAATTTGTCAGATGAAACTTTGTATAAATATACAACAGTGTGATACATTTTGCAATACACATTCAGCCGTGTGATTGCGAAGGCCTAAGCGTCACCGTTGTTAAACAAAGTTAATCCGATTACGTACTTGGATGCTATAAAAGAGCAGTGAATTTCATGCACCCCCAAAAACATGGCCTTTTGAACGTTGTGTTTCTCAGAAAATATGCTCAGTTTGATTGAAATGTTAAAATTATAACAAAGAAGCAATTCTAAACTTCATGTCAGTGAAAAAATCGCCGTCATCGATGCCGAAACGTCAATTCTCGTTACTGGTAAAGCTGACCTTTAAGTCGGGAAGAAATCGTCCCCAAATCTATGTATTTATCTCAATTTCTAGGAATCCCCTCAAATTGTTATTTCACGAGTAGTTGAACACTTGTATCATTCCAAATAAGTATATTCCGAATTTCAGCTTAATCTGTTGTTGCAAATGCTTGTGTTACACCTTAAACTATCTCCAAGGTAAATGAAAGTTGCATGAAGATATGGTCTTCCAAACGGGAGAAATTAATTTTCAAAGATTTCGCCCGCCAATGTGAACATGTCTGTGTGCATGTTGTTTCATTCAAAATAAAGTATTACATAACCTTTAGAAATCGGCCTTCGCAACCACACGGCTGCATTAATTCAAGACACTCTACCGAAACTAACTTTTTCCCCAAAGATGCGACTTCAAATGACATGAATGGAATTTCATTCACACACAAATTGTGCATGTCAGAAAAGAAGGAAATACTCAGGAGCAGCGTAGGCTCGTAGCACCCAGGACATGAAATGTATCAGATGTCAAAAAGGCTTGTGTCACCGGTTGGAAAAGGATATTAATCTGAAACATGTCATATATTTTTACTGAGTTGAACAATCCAATGTTAGAATTTTCAATAATCGATATATCGGAAATCCCATATCCCATATAGTATATCGATTAGCCCATGTAAAAGTTAAAGACTATAAAGATGACACCTGATTTGAGAAAAAAAACCCTTAAGTCCAAATTTTCCACCATTTTCTCTGGAGCGTATTGCTCAAACTTTTTAAAACAAATCTCAGCACTGTGAGTTTGTCCAGAACGGGCGGTTTCTTTTGAGGTTTTACATTGGGGAGACTGCGAATTCCAGTGAATGCAGAGCACAAAGCCTTTTGAAACAAAGATTTAGGTGCATACTGCAACAACAAAAATCGGCAACTGAATATGTATGAGGTATAGTAAAACAAATATAACATGGTATATTTTGGGTGGACAGTCGATATTATTAGCTCCCCTCGGTATTGGAAGTTGACAAACTAGTTTCGCCTCGGGAATTACTTTGTCAACTTCCAATAACTTGGGGAGCGAATATCGACTGTCTGCCCTCAAACCATGTTATATGTGTATAGGCCTACTGTATGCATCAGTTTGGACCCAAACAACTCTTTCAGTTCGAGTAAATACAAATGTACAAAAGTGTAGAGTTTTACAGCACAATTGTACTAGTGATCATAACCCAAGTTTACAGAAAAAAATTGCTAGTAATAGGATCAAAAGCAGCAATACTTCTTCCAATCATATATGTATACAGAAAAATGTATGTATTTAATGACTCTACATTTACAACACGTCATCCAAAGGATGATTTGGAAAGAATGTTGCAACCTGACGCTTTTTTCTTCATATATCATCTCAATAAATGTCAGTCATTGCAAAAATGTTGAAAAGACTTGACTCTGGGACTGAGAAACATTTTGTTAGGAAATACTTAGAATGTTCTCAACTCTCTATAGACTTTGTACACAACCACTGAAGTGGTGTCTGGATACTACATTCTTTCCAATGATTCCCCCCACCCCAGTTATTTACAAGTACTACACATACATGTGCAATGTAGAACTTGTGTGATTTCGGCAAGATTACCATATGCGAAGTTCACTAATTTTCCTCTGTATTGACTAACAAGCCCCCAGATAGCAATTTCATGTCATCAAAGTCAATTTGAGCAGTGAGAAAATACAAGCATTTTCTTAGAAAACACTTAGACTTTTTCAGTCCACTCTCAGTCATAGGGTTTGTACACAGAGTGTTGAGTGAACTTCGTATATGGAAATCTTTCCGTGATTTTTTTAGTGGTTGACACAACACAGACTCCAAAACTATGAGGCATCGTGTCATTCTCAGAATTGGTCGCTATGTAAAATCTTCACAGGATCCACAATCCACATCAGATGGTAGACTGCCTCGCTTTCTCACAGTTGCTCGACTGTTAACATGGTGAACGTAGCTGAGATAGGAGTTCTCGCTTGATGGCATTCCAAGATTTGAAGATGCTGGTTGAGTAACTCAATTGTTCTGTGAAAATCTGAGTATTGGAGAGTTGATGAAGCAGGGTGAACATTTCATTCTTGTGTTGTGAAGTACGTTTGTTGACAGCCTTGCACATGATGTGATCACGGGCTCTGAGGTAATGGTGGTCAACTGGATACAACAAAGGGTGATGAAACTCAGGAAATTCATTGACTGGGCAATCTTCTTGTTTTTCTTCTCATTTCAATTTTTATTCACGACGTTATTTGCTACTGTGGTTTACTGATGTGGGTAGACCTGTTTAATGTGCCGGAGCAGATGAAACCCCACTGCATTACTAGTGACATTTTCCGAAGAAATGTCTTGCTGTACTGACTACTGTAGTAAAGGCCACAAGTTGAAGTCGAGGTTTATGTTGCTTAGCACAACTGTCATTTTTGTCATGGCTAGCTATACATGTTGCGCCGATTCAGCAACTATCATTCACACGATTCCCCACAGCAGTAGAATATGCAGTTCCCCGTGCAGCTGTAGCAGATGAGCACCAGCGCCACGAAGAACATGACGCTGCATATCGTGCACGGTTTCCTCTCCAGAAAGAACCCCGCGAGGTACAGCACCATGAACATGCTGTAGTTGTGCAACAGTCCCATGTTCAATGCTGAGCGCGGTATCGGCATCAGCAACACGGGCAAAAGCCATTGAAGGCAATACATGGCGATAAGCTGCTGGACTTTAACTATGTCCTTTGTTGGCCCATGGCACTATGGTACCCCTTGAGTTGCAATCTGATAGTGTTTTCGATGTCAAAGTCACGTTTTAAAAGTGAAACTTGACAACACATTCTCGCCTTTCGATCTCTTCGTGCATCAACACACCAACACGCAGTCGAAATTATTCAGTCTGCGTCCTGTGCTCGTATTGTACCACTACCAAGATACAGAGAGTCTGGGTACCGAATTTGTGACACCTCAGTTAAAGAAACTTGGGTTTCGCTTTCTGTGGTCTAAATTCCGTTTGCTCAAAAGATGATTTTCAATTTTCCAACAAAACAGTACTCCTGCTAGTCATGTTATGTCATGTCGATCTAAAATGCAGTTTTCAGACGTTTTTATATTAGTTTTTCCGTCACCGTGACACTGACATCGCGCCCTCAAGAGTCCAGTCTAAAATAAATATTCAGCAGGGACGGACGGCACGGCATGTATGCAACATCATTAGAAAATGTACCCAGATGATTTGATTAAGTGTCCATAAAGTCTCCAAAATGGTTTTCTATTTCAAGAGTGAAGGTACTGATAGTGACACTTATTCTGTTTCTTGTTCATTTTTGTTTTACAGTGTTTAAAAAGTGACTGTTGCATTGATTCCCCAGCACTTGCCATGACTTGCACTGCATGCACATTCTCAACTCATCGACAATGGACAATGAAAAGGGGGGGGGGGGTTGTTGTTGTTGTTATACGAACTCGTAAAAACACCAAGTTGTACATGTGCCAACTCAGCATTACGCAAATTAGGACGGTTTATCAACCGTTTAATACCGCCCACGCGACAGGCTCTCAAAACTCAACCAGACTACCAGTCATGCCAGTAGGAATGGCTGAACTGTCTTGGGTATTTATGAATATTCAGTTATTAACAGCAAAGTCCTTGTTTTTATGTTGCAGGATATGTCATCTATGTCGGCATTGACAAATATGAAAGTAAGTATTGAAGAGTACATACATGACATATGATTTACTTGCCTTCATCTCTATCCTGCTTAACCATTAACAATTAACAGGTCAATTAAAAACCGGCTGAGATCTATACCTAAAAGTGGAAATAAATTCTGTTTTTTTAGCAGCATTATTTCCCTTGTTGACATCACTACTCGTGAATATAGAAATTTGTATAAGCACGACAGATTAGGCCAAAAAAAAAATTCTGCTTCCGATTACATGGCATTTGAAAATAGGGTAGGTAGGTAGGGAAATAATTTTTTTTTTTGGCCAATTTTTTTGTGTACGATCATATGGAGGCGTCTGCGTGTTGTCAAAGGTGAAAGGTAGAAATTAATGGTTTTGGGTGTTTTTTCCCTCATTTTTCCCATAAAAAAAATTAGGGTAGGGGCTGTCAGAGTAAAGGTAGGTAGGGAAACCGGAAGCAGAACTATTATTTTGTTTGGCCTTATTTAAATCCATTATCGGATATGTGCATCACCGCTATATTTATAAAGCGCGAAGTGGGCGACAGGTGGCGAAGTAGCCCCATAAATGTGGCCAATTTACTGGACTACCTCCGTAAATAAAGGCCACACTTCCACCATGTACAAAAACATGTCGAACTTTGTCAAATTAGGCTTAGTTTGTAGTTTATTTTTGCTTTAGAAGCATACTCACCCTCTTTATAGGCTAATCAGAAAGTGCTGCCTTTTTCAGATGTCTAATTTTTGTGAAATTTCATGTTGAAATTTTGATACGCAAATGTATGCAAACGAATCTGGAAATTTCACGAAAAATAGACATCTGAAAAAGGCAGCACTTTCTGATTAGCCTATAAAGAGGGTGAGTATGCTTCTAAAGCAAAAAACCCTACAAACTAAGCCTAAATGTGAAAATCAAAATTTGACAAAGTTCGACATGTTTTTGTACATGGTGGAAGTGTGGCCTTTATTTACGGAGGTAGTCCAGTAAACTTGGCCACATTTATGGGGCTAGTGGCGAAGCCGCTCCCTTGTGAAGCAGGCGAGGCGAAACCTCATACAGTAAAAATTATAGATCTGTAGAAACAACATACATACACACCCATACCTGTATGAAGCCTCATGCATAATTTTGTCTGTTTAAACTTTTTACTTTGCTTTTTCTTAACCTGTAGATGAAGAATTGATTAAGTATGGCTTTCCTGAAGATATATGGTGAGTTGACTTTCAGTCCATGACTCGGACAAATGTTTGATTCAAGTTACATTTGCCATCACTCTAATGCATCTTGAAACGAATCCAGGAATGCTGAGTGAGTGGGAATAATTATTGTTCTTCTCAAACACTGACATACTGTGCAAAATAATCTTCTGGGGTTTTCTTCCCACTTCTTAAACTGTAATTTCTTCTCATTGTCTTCTCTCCACAGGTTTCTTCAGGCTTGCAAGCTACAGTGCCTAGGGCGCTTTTGAGGAATCCTTAGTTTCATTACCAGAAATAAATAAAATAAACTAAGAATTTAAAGGACTCGTTATTAGGCCCCCAAAAAGTCTCCGGTTTCTGGTCTGCGCATGCGTGCGTCGCCGTAGCCATGCGCGTCGGAAAAATTAAAAAGTTTTTTTTTCAATGTAAGATGATGTCTCAAACCGCCAAACTCACTGGTTTGACTGGAATCCTGCTGCTGCACAATTTTAACGTGTTTTTAGATGGGGTTACAATCGAGTGTAAGCTTTATGTGGCATCTCTAGGCTCCCATATATTTTGCACTAAATTTAGGCTGGCACCATTTGCAGACGGTGTTGTAATTTTGTAATTGTGCATCTGGAAGCTAGACTGAGGGAGCGATGGTCGTGTATCTGGAACCTGTAAACGCTTTTTAATTAGCGCAATATGTAAGGGAGCAGACTAATGACCAGCCTGGCAGCACATGCACGATGTCGATGTCGTTGCATGGTCTAACGTTACCGTTTCTCTGATTTTTCTCTTGACTATCCAAATTTCCCGAAGAACATTCCTGTCGGTCGAGATCATAAGTGGGTGCAGAATTCTCAAGCCTTATTGCCTTACTGAGGTCACCTCAAGCTCAACCCTGAAGGATATTTTTTAGAGTTTCAAGGGGATCGAAGGGTCATCTGCAACATCAGCCGATATTTGAAGCCAAAAAAAGTACGGGGGGGGGGGGGGGGGGGGGAAAGCATCATCTGCAACATCAGCCGACATTTGAAGAAAAAAATAGGGGAAAAAAAAATGCGTCGTCGCACCACTTTTGGGGCAAGCTCCATACCAGAAACTGGAGACTTTTTTTGGGCTTTAGAAGAATTTTATAACAAGCTTTATAATTCATGGATCGTGAGTCCATTTGTTTTCACTGAGTCTAGGTTTGTTCTGCTTAACCCCACAGGTTCCACGTAGACAAGCACTCCTCAGCTCACGTGTATTTAAGGTTACCTAAAGGGGAGAATATCCACGCCATTCCAGCTACAGTCCTAGAGGACTGCGCACAGCTTGTTAAAGCCAATAGCATCACAGGTGTGTACACAAAGAGATCTGATACACCGTGCCCTCTGGAGACATGCACACAATAGGGAACAAAAGATTGTATACGTCTCCACAGGGCAATTTCTATAGATGAATACGTCTCCACAAGGTTATCACGAAATAGATACATGTATATGGATTTTACTCAAAAAGTAGGAATTTCCAAGGTATGTTGATCCATCGCAAATGAAAGAATTTTAGAAAAGGGATATTAAGTTCGAATTTCAGTCAAGGAAATTAATTCTGGTTAAAATAAGAGCATTTTGAAACTACACTTTCAAACTCGAAAACTTTACTACACGAGAACAAAGAAATGACTCCACAAGGATACAAAGATACACTTTACCACTTTAAAACGTGCGTCCTGGAATACCCCCAATTGGCTACAAAAGGCGTTTTGAACGAAATGATGTTAATCGGAATGAACATTTAAAAGTAGGATATAAACATCAACACAACCTTCCTTTAAAAACTGGGCATTTTTGTAGGACTCTTGTGTTATTTGTGCGAGAACGACTTTCGGGGTCCACTTTTGCGACCCCAAAAAGTTGGGCTGTTCGTGCTAGTTGTGATTCCAGCCGTAAGGGTTCGCCTTTTGTGGACGTGTAAGAAATCACATTTTGTGCATTCGTGATTGGTCACCGCTGTTCATGAGCACGGTGCTGTGTACGTGTGTAATACTAGACACACAATGTGTATCGTACAGTGTATGAAAATGACAGGAAACACGTATCATACTCCGTCGTGTCCAAAGTAAACAATCGGGTTGTTTTTTCGTCTTTTCTCGGGAACGGTAAGGCATTAGGTTGGTTTCCTTTCAACCAGATGTTTTAAATAGGATAAGTAAACAATCCAAAAACATGACATTTTCGGGGATTTCAGGACGCAAGAGTACTACATGTACAAAATGAGACATCAAACGTCCAAATCTGATAAATTTTGACCGAGTTGTGTGTAATTTCCCAAGAGAGGTCAAATTGACCATGGGACCAAGTTTTTAAATGCAGTGATAATCGATTATGTTTGGATGTGCAAGTGTTTTAATGTGGATGAACTGTCGATGATTAGCAAGAAAGTGTTCAGAATTGTGTTTACTTGCTAAAGAGATTTTTTTGTAGGCCGGGCAATTATCCACACAGAGGCAATTAGGCTACCTTCGTCCCAATGCCTAAAATTGAAAACTGAGCTTGCTGCGGTCGGGTGGCCGGTTTCAGTCTGATGTAGCAGTGGGTAGCTTAAGCAATTTTATTTTGAAAAATGTACATCTCCCCAACGAACATTCTATCTTATGAAATAAAAAAAAAACGATTGGTGATGATAAAATTAAGCTTCAAAATTATTTTTCAAAAGGCTGACATCATGGGTATCATAATTGATAATTGACAGAAACGACAGCGTTGACTAACACATAACGAAAATGATAATTGTGAACATGAAATTGGTAATATAGAAAACAACTAATTTTTGTGTGTGGCAACTGTACCATTTCATAGGGAACAAAATCAATAACATTAATGTGGTCTACACGCCATGGAGTAACCTCAAGAAGACGGGCGACATGGATGTTGGTCAGGTGGGATTCCATAAACAGAGAGAGGTGAGCGCAAAACTTGAACTCTAACAAAAATCAATTATAAACAAGGTAATTGACTGGAGCGGGGTTTGAACCTGCAACCTCCAGATTGCCATTCCAGTGCTCTACCAACTGAGCTATCCAGCCATACGTTGGCGGTTCCTGAGTTTGTCGTTGTCTTTGTTCAAGGGTGCTAGTCAGAAGCCATAAACCCTTATATGCCATGTAGCCAGGGATCACACCCAAAGTCGCAATGCTAGCAACATAAGCAGTGCGAAAAACCATGGATAGCTCAGTTGGTAGAGCACTGGCACGGTAATCCGGACGTCACAGGTTCAAACCCCACTCCAGTCGATTTATTTGCTCAATTTGGAACGAGCCATTTGCGAGTTACATTTGAATAAAATCTGAAACGCTGACTTAATCCAATGCTTTGCATGTTTTAACTTTGCATTCTTCCAACCAAAGAGACTGTTACTATATCACGTGATTCGGGGCAAGCCTTATGCTAGCAACCCCCAGCTCCGGCATGGTCTGGTGTCTTTGTGCCATTCTCACCCATTGTGAACAATGTATTCATTGATGTTGAGCGTCTCTTACGTAACTATGCAAGAGCTTGCCCCGAATCATGTGATTAGCAACATTGTCTTTGGTCTGGAGAATTCAAAGTTAAAATGTGCCAAGCTTTCTGAGCAAGTCAGTGTACCAGATGTTTTTCAAATTTAAATCCCAAAGGGTGTAGGTCACTCACAAATGGCTTATTCTTACATAATGCACCTAGTCACAAAGATTCAATTGTAAAGTGTTGCAGCAATGATTTCAGGTAAACTTTCAGACATTTCTGATTCGTATTTATATTTTCTTTTTACATCAATGCATGATTTGGTCCAATGCATGTGTAAGTAATATGAGCAATTCACAACTACGGTGAAGATACCACAGGGTGGCCATTTTGCATTGTGGGAAAAAGTTGACATCAACATGTAAAAGCATCTTACTGTTGAACAAGAACTCAGTAGTTTTATGTTGTTTGGGTTGACCAATTAAGTTGGAAACTGTGTCAAAAAGTGAGTATCGGAAACTTCCCGAAAGCGTTGTTTTTTTGTGTGGAAGTTCATGTTAACAAACGAGGACAAGTGGATATCTGCAGGATTAAGCTACCCTCAGTCGGCGATCCTGAAAAGCCAGTCGCCGACTGTTCTGTGTCATTGCAAGGTCGACCTGAGACAAGGCGTAAGATCGTGTTGCTGTCTTTAAACCAACATCTCTTCTTGGCAGGTCCTGAGTGTAAAAGTAGAAAAGAGAAGCAATGAGATTGTCAACAGACTGAACAAGACGAAAGAAGAGAGGATGCCCGACCTGCAAGCGGAAAGAGAGGAACGTGACCGGGTGGAGCGGGAGGCGGCCAAGAAGGTAACCAGAGAGAAGAAAGAGAAGGAAAAAGAAGAAGCTCGACAGCGAGAGAAAGACGCCGAAATCAGGTGACACTCAGAGATGTTAAAGTTGCATTTCTTGGCTACTTTAGATTTTCATCCTGAAAATAGATTCAAATTCTAAATTGCTATTTTTGTTGTCTAGCAAAACAAAAAGGTATTCACTTTTGAATGAGACAAACAGAAAAAAATCGGCCTATGTTTTGTTATTGAAATTTTACTTAACAAATTTCAAATTTCAAATTGCCTTTGCCATGGACATTAAATTATGTCAAGTCTTTTTAAGCAAGCGTTTGGCACTTCCCCCCATAATTTGGTCATTTTGGGGATGATAGAAAACAGTTTTACATAATACCGGAGTCTTATATAGCGCACGTATCTATTATCAATTAGGTACTCAAGGCGCTGGTAATTATGTCTATTTTTAAAGACAGGTAAACGAAGTTTATGAGAAATATGAGACCCATTATGTAGCACCTTATAAGGGTTAACAAGGTGCTGCGGCGCATATTGCAGCCACTGCCAGAAACACCGGGGCAAACCCCTTCTCTTAGCGAAAACTGTTACTGGGTTCTTTGACGTGCATTACATAACACACGGGACCCACGGCTTTACGTCCCATCCGAAGGACGAAGCAATAATGGTAAAGTGCCTTGCTCAAGAGCACAAGCACCATGTTCCCTGTCAGGATTCGAACCCGTGTACTACGGCACACGAGTTGAACGACGTAACCATTGGACCACAGCCCCCAACATGAATGTTTTGTTGAATAATCAGACAAGATATTGAAGTTATAGCCATCAAAAAATATTTATGACTCAACGTTCATTTCATCCTGTCTTTGTAGGAATTATTCATCTCTGATGACTGCCAGCAATATGAGATCAAACGCTGAAGTTCATTCGGATGATTCCGACGATTTTATGTAAAAAACAAAAACAAAATTGTGCATGAACTTGAGGAACATCAACAGACTTGGAAAACTGCATGAGGAAAATCAGCATGCGGGCAGCAGACCGACGATACACGAAGAATATTTTGATGTATTGGCTTCGTGTATTTACTAACGAGGGCGCTCTTTGGCATCCCTGTGAGAGCATTGGTGACTTCGGTGGGCATGGGTAGGCAACCCCAGACCATATTCTTGATAGAGACGTTTTTGTAGAGTTGGACTCTATGCCCAGGTTATCCTGAACAACGAACTGATTTGGACACATTTTTATGGAGTTATATTTGTCCTAGTAATTTCATCAGGGGTAGGACATCAAACTTCTAAGGTGAAAGGAGTATGACCTCAAACTTGTAAGGTGAAAAGACCCTATCTACATGTATTTACGTCCCGCCAATACGCACGCGAGCAGACACGTTCCAGCCGTGCGCGTCATATCACGTGGCATGTCAGAGTTTTCTGCCACGTGAGACATTAAGCACCACTGTGATTGGTCAAAACCTCATGGGCAATTTGTAGACGTTGGGGAATAGTCAGGTCAGGGAACCAGACTACTGGCTTGCACCCATTCACGGATGTGTAACTGATTGCAAAGAAAATGTGGACTAACTAAATTTGGTAAAATGGGAGCAGCATTTGAAAAAAGGTCAATTCTTGTTTCCAACAATGGTTGGCTGACCATCGTTGGAAATAGATAAAAGACTTCAACTTTTCTTTAAAAAATGAAAGCACACCAGATGCCATGATTTCACAGGATGCTTGAGACTATTATTCACCTGCAGTCCAGTAAGGCATTTTATAATAATTTGGTAGTTTTGTTTCATGTTTGCAAATGTTGTATCCATTGTATTACCTTCAATGGATCGGTCTGTTCTTGACTTCATCTTTGTAGTACATGGGAAATCTGATGAATTATGACAACAAATCAGGGTGAAAGAAATTGATTTGAAGCTCTTTTGGTAGGAGTTGTAAGGACAGGCGTTATTCCATACGTAAGGTCACAGAAATAAAGCCGACAGTATCATGAAAGGTATGGAGTGCACTTGTTGGCAATCATTTATTACCGTGGGAAAGTTTCCTGTTGCTCATGCATACATGTAGATAATCTGTGTAATGTGTTTTGCATGTCCATTGCACACCCACTTATTTGACGCACAATAATTACAAAATCGTGTTTGCTAAGAAAAAAATGCTACCGAATGATATAAACTTAGGTTGTGCACTGGAGTTGACATAAGGATATCATTGTGTCCCAGTAAGTCTGATTGGTCATTTTGAATACAACTAGTGAACGGTCACTTTCCCAAAATGGACAGCTGATCTACACAATGCCGCAGCAAAAGTAATATTTCCTCGTTTTTTGTTGTTGTCACTATGCCTCAGTCTGTCTCATTTTCAAGTCAACACAATTTTTCGATGAAACTAAACTACACAGATGTTTATACCTGACGAGAGTAGGCTTGGGCGGTATGAGATTTTTGGAGTCTACGGTATATCACAAAAATACAGTGGTATTCGGTATTACCGGGTACTTTTGTGGGCAGACTACTATGTCATCAAATTAAATATAGATATGTGGTAATAGGGAAACCACACACAGGCGCCAACAGCAGAACTTAACTGTCCCTGCAGTATAACTAGTAAGCAACAGTATGGGTTTCTGTCAAACCCCACAATGTTTGTCTCATCTAGCCATGTTGACCACAAAGCATTTACACAATAATATTGTACAGATCTAGCCAAATGGTTGTTTTTCTTTTAAAGGGATTTTGTACACACCTGGCCACATTTTAGAGAGAATACAGCAGTATTGAAATTCCATACCAAGTTTTTCGGTATTTCGATATAACATCACCATGTGGTATTGTTTGGTATAACAAAAATATTGTCACTCAATATGGGTTTACCGAAATATCATCCAAGCTTTGACCAGAGCCGTGAAACCCCTTTTAAAGGTTACAAACTTCGTTCGAAAGAAGCAAAAATGTATCCCAAAGACTGCACGACAGAAAAATAATCACAAACTCAGTTGTTCTTGTTCAAACAGCACATTTGTTAAATGCAATTGATCAGAGATACTTACCATCAAATAAGCCAAAAAGGTCACAAAACTGTGATGAACCTGATTAGGTGAAAAAAAGTCTAGTGTACTGAAGAATTTCACTAACTACGTGCAACTGCAGCATCATTTTCATTTTTTTTTATAAAAAAGTTGGTTAATTGACGAGTCGTTTCTATCATTTTTTAACCCTGACAATCCCCATCCAGTCAAACTCCAACACTAGGGTTTGTTGGAATCTGTTGGAGCGAGTACTGCACTGGTAAACTGATTATGCTTTACATGGAGTCGGGCATACCACAGAATCCAACAGTTTGGGTGTTGAGTTACCATATGGTGTTGGATTTTGCTAGAACGAAGAAGGTTCCTAGTAAATCACTCAAAGGTTTAGGGTTTAATTCTATTTTTTATTCCTGGTTGACAAGGTCTATCTCATTATGTATTTGTTGCTACGAAGCGCTATGGACATAGCTTTTTATACAAGATTGTTAAGCATAAATGTGATGCGATCAAGCTACACAAGTCGTTTGTCGACCCTGGTCAAAAACAATTTTATTACAGATTGCAAAAGAAGCATTACTGCTGTGAAAAACCGCATGCTGATACCATATTTAGTTAAAAAATTATGGAAGTCGGAACACCAAGAGATGTGATGAAGTGATGTGATGAAGTGGCCCTATTTTGGCCTGTATACAAATTCCCGACAAACGACTCATTTAGCTTGATCGCATCACAAATGATGAAAATCGTCACACTAAGACAACTCCAAGCCAGAAAAGAAGATGAAAAATTCAGTACATTGTACTGCATGATCAAACTCATCTTGATACAAAGGCTTCTATGGGTCTTAACCTGATAGATATGAATACAATTTACTCGTTCAGCAATGTCCACAAAATACTGGGGCACATTCAGTGCTTGTCAAAATGCTCTGAAAACTTTACATCAGTGCCAACGAGAGATTTTGGTGGGTGATAAAAGCTACATGATTAAGAATTGTTTTGAAAATAATTATGTGCTTAGACTGCAAGCTCATATATTCTTGATTTTTGTTCTTTTAGTGTAACCATTACAAATACTCATTCACAATTTCTATTTTTGAAATGGTACAGACTTTTCATAACACGTACTAAGAGAAAAATACACTAATAAAATAGAGACGAAATTCTAATGGTATGACCACAACGTATCGAAAGGACATGTTCATAACATATTGTTCAATTTTTGAATTGGATAAAAGCAAACACTGATAAAAGTGTGCCAGTAGTTCAGCTGTGTGAATTCTTCTTTTTTTGGGTGAATGTTGACAAGAGACAATCTACAGAAATACATAGATTCTTAAACATGACTAAGATCCAAAACCATAGAGGGCGCTACATATTGGTACACTTCAGAAGGGACCGTTCTTATGCAGTGTTTTTGTTGCTTGTAAGACGGTCATACTGCAAAAAGAAATGTGGGGCAACGCCAAACTTTGAAGGGCGGTAGACTTTTTTTCTTTTTTAAGGGGAACCTAAATCTGTCAGTCTTGTTTACCTTTAAAAATTGTTTTTGTTCTATCATCTTTAAAAACCTATTTGCATCCAATTTTTGAAGTGGACTCCCGGTATTCACCGTGTAAAACATCAATGGGATTTTAAATGCTATTTTCTCAAAAATATAAGATTTACATTTCTCTTTTTTTAAATTCAATTCAATTTAATTTCAATTCAAGATGGCAGTCTATATTTCCGTAACTGAACTCAGTACCTCAAAATGATATATCATTAGAAGAGCTGTTCTGCAGAATCTAGAAATGAAAATATCTTCATTCTTAAAAAGTCAGACTTTAGGATATTGTATTGATGGATCACATGTGTTGTGAACATATGTACATGTGTACAAAAAACCCACACAAAAACACGCTACCTGCAACCCTTCTGTTTTTTTGGCAGCATTACCAGAAACACAACATTTTCTTTTTCAGTCCTTGCAAAATCTTAGTGTGCCAGAAAGTGCGGTAGCGCCCTCTATCGTTTTCAAAATCTGAATCTAGTGGACTCGGCTCACAACCGTGTTTCTAGCAGGGTGTTCCTGCTACATTGAGTACACTATCTACTAATACACTAAACCTAAATTGTCACTATTCAAAATTCATGAGACTCCAAGGAGAGGGTGTGTGACTGACTGCAGCCGACATGTTAACCGATGCTCACCAGCTCAACGTCGAAGATCAGCGTCGAATTAGGTGGAATAGTACACAGAAGTTAAGGAGTTAATTCGGGGTAGAATTTTTTGATAGTGCCTGTGAAAAAAAATTCCATGGGCAGGGCTTAATGGATGGGCGGGGCTTGATGGATGGGGCGGAGCTTGATGGATGGGATGGGACTCAATGGATGGGGCAGGGCTTAACGGATAGGGCAGGACTTGATGGATGGCAGGGCTTATGGATGGGGCGGGATTTAATGGATGGGGCGGGATTTAATGGATGGGGCGGGACTTAATGGATGGGGCGGGACCTAATGGATGGGTGGGGCTTAATGGATGAGCAGGGCTTAATGGACGGGGCAAGGCTCAATGGATGGGGAGCTTAATGGATGGGCGGGGCTTAACTGATGGGGCGGGGCTTAATGGATCGGTCTGTTAGCAGTGAAGTGTGCCACCACCAAGTCACTGCAGTAAGGTAAATTTTTTTTGTTGGCAAACAAGTTCAATTAACTGCACACAAACTGTAACACGAAAGCTGCACAACTAGAGAACAAGAAATGATATCAATGAAGCACGGGGTCTGGATTATCACTGTGCCTATAAAGGCCTATGAAAAATTCGGCGACTATGAAAATTTGAGGGCCTAAGAAAATACATAAACTTGTTCTGTAGTTGTGGGACCACACACCTGTTGAGCGATAGTTATTATGGGGACCAAAACAACACTATGGGGACAGCAAAAAGTCCCCATAACTCGGTCCTAATTTCCCCAGCAATAGAAAACTTCCCCGTAACGCGTTGCAGGCCAGGGTACCAGTATGCCATAAAACACACATACCCACACACACATCAACGCAGACTCTAGAACAGTTTTAGCGTCTCTGTCCGAGTTTTCGATTTCGGGAAAACTTCAAACTAGCTAGTACATTGCTGACCACGAACCTCAATATGTGTAATACAGTGTAATAACTGGTAGAGAACCCAATACATGTAATACACTGCAATAACTGGTAGCAAACCCAATATATGTACATTGTCCACGTAATACATTGTACAGACTTTTAGAGCTACCAGTTTGGCCTGGCTTGCTTATTACAACTTAGCATGTAGCTTAGCATCAACGTGAAATGTGTGGCTCCAGTGCTTACCAGAGCAGTAAAATTGGTGCCGGTGCCTAGGGCAGAGCAGGGCCTATTGAACACTGGTGCCTAGGGCCTACAGAACACTCAATCCGGCCCTGTATAGCACAACAAGCACACCGGGACAATGTAATATCACAACAATTCACTATTTCTTTTGTGAGTATGAGTGGTTCTGAAGAACCATACATACTCACAACAGAGATTTATTCACATGGTGTCACCGCAAACTTATCTTGACTTAGTATCTTTCCACCATGCCAACCTTCAAATCTTAAATCACTATTTAAATGTCAAACACCAAATCAGGACAAACGTGATAAGGCCGGGAAACATACCACACAGTCTGAACTGAAGCCATTTTCTACAGCTCATTATCTTTTGGCTCCTAAAAATGAGTCTGAAAGTTTGACCCAACAAATGTACACAAAAACACTGCAAGTAAAACTTGCGCCATCCCCCTGGCAAATTTCTGTCCATGTAACGTACGTAGCAGGGTGTGGATAAAGATTTTGTCAAATTTACCTGGAAAGTCTTAAATTCTTAAAAAGCACCATCCTCAACAAAAGGGGATGGGAATGTACAAGTGGAAAATAGGACAAACAACTTAATATTATCATCCTGCTTCATTTCACAATCCCATGTCACACTTTTGTACCCCTTCAGTGTGGAAAGGCCCACATACAGTCATTAGTAATACTGAGCTGCGCTCCCAAGAGACCTCGTAAATATCCATATTGGAAAGGTTTTTTTTACGTCCTTCTCTCCATAGATCACCTTTCAAGTGTGGTTGAGATTGATGACTAAACTTACAGTGAACTGGAACACACACACACGGACACACGGAAGGAATACGCGATTGCAATATATCACCCTGTCTGGCTTGAAAGTCAGGGGGATAAAAAGTCATTAACCAAACATACTTTTGTAGTACAAATTGATTTCTTTGCCCCACTTGCATTGTAGTCGAGTATAACCACACGGATTCCAGCGGATCCTTCTCCATAACCAACATCTAATATATGTGAGCAATGCAAATTATATTCGACCCCGCACGCCAGCCAATTGGAGTCGACTTTAGAAGCTGTGACGTCATTTCGATCAAAAATGTGGACTAAGCTGTTGATTGGTCAATTTGACTGACATTTTATGTAACACAAGAGGTTATGAAAGAACCGACAGAAGGCGCCCTGAATGGTCAGAATTTAGAGGTCAAGATGCAGTCTTATTTTGCAAACTTAATCACCGAATTTGCTCGCATATAATTAGGCCAATTGTCCTTAATGGCAGCTGAATTCAGAAAGACGAAGTTACAACGTGGTCGAGCCGAAGGCATGTAAAGGCCCCTTAGGCAGTCGCCATATGGCTCATGTCTGACCACAGAGCACAGGAAACTGGAGTACCCAGAGAAAAACCCTCGTAGCACAGGAGAGAATAAATGAACTATCACGCATGACCCGAGCCCTGAATCAAACCCGGGCCACAATAGCTTTGCGCCACGCATGCCACCCAAAATCTAATAAAGTCTGATGAGAGTGAAAAGGATATACTCCAGGGTGACCGGCAGCACCGTAGGCATAGTCTGGTGAACAGGTCAACTTGGCTCGCTGTCCAACACTCATCTGTTAGTATACAAAAAGAAAAAAAGAAAGACCTCAAATTCAGCCGGCCAACACTCGCGACTTATCAAGATTAAAACTCTCATGCTCAACTTCGGGTTAACCCTAACACCTCCTTAACCCTAGACGGCATGAATCCTTCAAAATCCTCTTTGCCAAAGTGGAGGAATTTGGAGGATTGAGGTTAAATGGCAAAAGTGCGTTGCTGATTTCATAGGATGCACTTTGTCAAGGTCTTGGGCTGGACCTTGTCATGCTTGTGTTGTTTTTGCTCAGCCATGCATAAATATTGGCCTGGATAATGCTTGAAATCCTCCATACTGCTCCAGGATGTCACTGGCCAAGCCTCAACATATTGACGGTCACTGCCGCAGGATTTTACAGGATTCAGGCAGTGGTCATCCCTCCAAGAATCACATTCAAGAAATAATGGAGGAATTTGCAGGATTGAGGCTATGCTGTTTTTCTATGAGGCCAATTGGAGGATTTTGCAGGATTGAGGCTACATCCTAGCAAAAAGGCCTATTGAAGCTGAATGGCACCAAAGTGTCGGTCGATTTTGGAGGATGCATTGGGTCAAGTTCATAGGCTGCACCCAGCATTGTTTGTGTTTAGTCATGCAGAACTGAGCCCTGCATTGTACTCGATATCATCCGCACTGCTTCTGAATGTCATCGGCACTGCCTCAATCCATTACAGTGATTTGTTGGAGAATTTTGAAGGATTGAAACAATGGTTACACCTCCACTGGACAGATTCAAGAAATAACAGATGATTTTGGAGGATTGAGCCTGTGTCAAATTTTCACAGGGTAGCAATTGGAGGGTTTGAACCTGCAGTGTGCATTTTGTCAATTGACAAAATGGGGAACTGCCTACATAGAGCTGGATAGCTCAGTTGGTAGACCACCCAAACAGCATTTAAGACATGGCAGGTTCAACCCTGCTCCAGTCAATTTCTTTGTTCAACTTTAAACTTTGTTTCAAAATGACAGCATACCGGGTGCTACAGTTTCATAGGATACTTTTGACTACTACATGTAGTAACTCTAACGAAGACAGCTATTGCATAATGCATGTAATTTGACAACTTAATTTTAAGAGTTCTGCAAATGTTGTTCAAATGTTGTTTGAATTCGGACTATTTCACAATGCGCCACCAAGAGTTTGCCATGGAGTGTCCATTTTTTAAGTTTATGGTCGACAAAACATGGCCCACTTGAATGAGTGTCAGTAGACAACTTGAGCTAATAATAGATTGGGGCATAGCGTTCTGCCGCCTTACAAAAAACATATTGATAGGAAAAAAAAGGAAATGGCAAACAGATACTCAAATCATATCTTACAAAATTACTGACTGGAAAAACTAACAATTTCAAATGTCCCGCGCTACAAATTCGTCGACCATCCCCCACAATGCACTGGGAAAAGAAAACTCTCTGTGGCAAACTCTTGGTGGCGCACTGCATTGTGAATCGCCTGAATTGGGCATCACAGTTTCACTAAATGTTTAGCCAATCAATTTTGGTTATAATAAGGGAATAAATGTGTGCTCCGTCGGTTTTTATCACTCTGTTTAACCCTAACCCTGCCAGACGCAGCACAGTGCATCAGGTGGAAAAGAACTGGTGCACTTTGATGCGTTCAGCTACCAACACCAGTGCATGAATGGCCAGCTCTGAAACCATGAGAGCTAAGTCCCATGAAACAATGCCACAGTTGTATCCTGCTGCGTGCGGTGACCACCGACTCTGAGGCAGTGTGGCCTTGAGACTTTTCCCCTGATGGATCTTGCTACATGTACACTGGGCAGGCTTGTCACTTAGTCAAGTGTTGCATGTTGCTACTGTAACGAAATGTATTCGGCGCTCCATACTTTTTATATGTTTCGTTTGCCCGCCATAGCTTTTGCGCTATTTTTAGAATGGGGTATATAAGGCAGCGTTCGCGCGCATTCTGGCCAGACTGTTTTGGCGCGCCGTAGAGTGGCAGACTAAGAAAAGCATCGTGGAGACAGACAGAGTGTTGTGTCGGGGAGTGACCGCAAATCTTACCGTGAGTGTTGAGCTGCTGTATTGTTAATGTTACACACTCCTTTTCTTTTATAAGTAGTGGTGCAATTGTGGAATTGATCCTTGGATTTACTTGATTAAGTGAAGCTTAATACTCGTTCGATTGAAGACAGCATATTTGGGTTTATTATTGTCACCTCTGTGCAGGAATTCTCCATTTGCATTCGTAGACATACTTGACAGATCTTTGTGAAGCACTTTTATTGTTGACTATCGATAAGAACATCTCTTTCCCTTAAGGAAATCCTTTCCCTTAAGGAAACCATTTCCCTTTAAGAAACTCATTTTCCCTTACGGAAACCCTTTCCCTAAAGTAAATCCATTCCCTTAAGAAACCTCCTTTCCCTTACGGAAACCCCTTCCCTTAAGTAAACCCTTTCCCTTGGGAGCCCATTTCCTAACGTATCGGGATCGACAACTGCCTCGCGGGAGACGAAGGGTCGAGCTCATCAGGAGGATCGGCATCTGCCTTCGGGAGACCTCGGAGGGTCGTCTGGAGCCTAGGAAACCCCCTTCCTTGACAAACTCCCTTTCCCTTAAGGAAATCCATTCCCTTAAGAAACCCCCTTTCCCTTACGGAAACCCCTTCCCTTAAGTAAACCCTTTCCCTTGGGAGCCCATTTCCTAACGTATCGGGATCGACAACTGCCTCGCGGGAGACGAAGGGTCGAGCTCATCAGGAGGATCGGCATCTGCCTTCGGGAGACCTCGGAGGGTCGTCTGGAGCCTAGGAAACCCCCTTCCTTGAGAAACTCCCTTTCCCTTAAGGAAATCCCTTCCCTTAAGAAGCCCCTTCCCTTAAAGAACTTCCTTTCCCTTAAGGAAACCCCCTTTCTTGAGGAACCCATTTCTAAGGTATCCGGAATGACAACTGCCTCGCGGGAGACGAAGGGTCGAGCTCATCAGGAGGATCGGCATCTGCCTTCGGGAGACCTCGGAGGGTCGTCTGGAACCTAGGAAACCCCCTTCCTTGAGAAACTCCCTTTCCCTTTAGGAAATCCTTTCCCTTAAGGAAACCCTTCCCCTTAAGGAAACCCTTCCCCTTAAGGAAACCCTTCCCCTTAAGGAAACCCCCATCTTTTTAAGAACTTGCCTTTTGTTGAGGCATTTTTAGTAAAGCAACTGCAGTTGTTGCATGGCTGAATAAAGAGACTTCTTTAAGCTTTAGCTTGTGTGTCTGGGTCCCACTTATTGTCTGGTTGGGTAGATTTATCGTTCGAACAAGATAAGGGAAAATTAGTTACGTGCGGCGACAGACAGTCTCCAAACGGATTATCGCCCTAGGACCATCTGGACTGCCGCTCGTCTGGAGGGTTCTCGAGACCGTCACTTCTCGAGAAAATCGAGATCCGCCACATTGGTGTCAGAAGTGGGATAAGGCGTAACAAATTATTCTCATTGGTTTCATTTAACCAACCCAACGATAGATTTACTTACACACATACGGGAGACTGGACTTAAAATATGGATGCTAAGGACGTTGGGCTATTGGAGGAGGAAATAGCTGTTCTTCGAATCGAGGCAGACAGAGGGGAGACCATGTTGAGGGACGCACTTGAGGACAAGAGGATTCTCGAAGAGGAGCTCATCAGCATGCGATCTTTACTAGAGGAAAGAGGAAGAAAACAGAGTCCCGGAGGGATGACAGGGATGGACACCCCAGAGTTGTTTTTCGATACACCCAGCCCTGCAGTCTCCAGCACCTTCAGGACAACTCCTAGGACGGGATTACGGACTCCTGCCAACACAGTTGTGTCGACAACAGGAAAGGAGAAAGAGGTTGCAGCCAAAACAGTTCAACCAGCAAAGGAGAAGGATGAGGGCAAGTCGCCACCCCTGGATAAGGAAACAGAAGCACCAAAGGAAGGCGTGCTTAAGAAACCCAACATCTGCCCTGATAGGTTTACTGGAAAGGTCCCATGGAAGGACTATAAGGAGCATTTCAAGGCATGTCGTAAAGCCAATGGCTGGGACGACAAACAGGCAGCTGTATTCCTGGCAGCGAGTCTTCAGGGTCCTGCCCTGAAGGTACTCGGGTGCCAATCAGGAGGTAAGGAGCCCTCACTCAAGGAGCTCTTTAGTCGACTAGACCAGAGGTTTGGACCGGGCCAACAGGCTGATTTTCACCTAATGGAATTGCGCCATCGTAGGCAAGGGGAAAAAGAAAGTCTTCAGGAAGTTGGGCAGAGCATAAGGGAATTGGCAGCACTGGCATACCCAGAATTTTCGGATGAAAGCAAGGAGCGTCTTGCCAAAGGACACTTCATGGACGCGATCACCGACCGAGCTATCAGAGAAGGGATATTCAGGTCGATGCCTGATACGCTAGACAATTCGATCAAAGCCGCCTTGTCGACTGAGAGCTTCCTAAGGACAGAAGAAAGAAGGGCCGGAGACAAAGCAAGGAAGTACGCCAGTAAGGTCCTTAAGAAAGCCGAGATAAATTACTGCGTAACAAGGCGGGAACTGCTCGCGGTGGTCACTTTTGTGAAGTATTTCCGGCCATATATTTATGGACGACGGATAACCATTAGGACGGACCATGGCGCACTAAGGTGGCTGACAAATTTCCGGGACCCCTCGGGTCAGGTCGCGAGGTGGTTGCAGGTTTTAGGAGAATACGACTTTGAAATTGTGCACCGTGCGGGAAGATCCCATCAGAACGCAGACAGCTTGTCTCGGAGGCCGTGCTCACAATGTGGCAGAGAAAATCATACGGAGGACCAGGATCCAGAGGATCCATCCAAGGAAACCAAGGGACGCGAAGCATATTCGTGTGCAGTCGGCTTAGTACCGAAGACAACGTGGAAGGACTGGAGGGCTGCTCAGCTCAAGGACGAGTCGATGCGTTGGATCATGATGTACAAGGAGGAAGGAGAACCACGCCCAGAGTGGGAAGCAGTATCAGCAGAATCCGGGATAAGAAAGGCGT